ATTGGTAAATAACTGTTGAATTATTAATTTAACCATATCCTATTATAATAATATAAAACTCAAAATCTTAAATAATCATTCAAATATCAGATCAATTTTTAGTAGACAAACTATATTGATTCTTAAATAACATATAATATATAATATTTAAAAAACAGATATTAATAGATCTGAACAAATTTCTGACAAACTATTGTATTCTAAAAAATTAAATTTAATTATATTTTCTGAAATCTTGAATTAATTAGTTAAATATTATGAAGCTTCTTATAAAATCATAAACTTTTGAAGATTATTCATTAAAAATATTAATAATAATTCAATAACTGTCCAAAATAGAGCCAATCAATATGAAAAATATCAAATTGAAAACAAAATCTTTAATTCCATTATGTTACTACAAATATAAAAGATTCATTTATTTTAGTCCAATTTATAAATAATAATAAAAGTATTGATTTATATTTAGAACAAGTTCAATTTTTCTTTATTTATTTGATCAACTTATTAAATATGGAAAAATACAATTTGGCTTTTATTTAATTGTTTAAACTTGTTAATTTGACAAATATCAGTTTCTATTTTGGATCTGAAAATAATATAAATATTAAACTAATAAGTATCAAATTTTATCCAATTAGATATGAATATATAATTTCTATTTATAATATTTTTAGTCAATTATTCCATTTAAATATAAAATTTCAAATTGACAAGATTCTTATGAATATTTAATTATTATTCCTTTAAATCACAAATACAATATATAAAATTTCATTAAAACATTTATAATTCAGCAAAAATATATATAAATTTGGTAAAGTAATATAATTCAGCAAAATAATATAATTTAATAATATACAGTATATATATTTGACAAGATAATATAATTTATCAAAGTAATATAATTTGTCAAAGCAATATAACTTGTCAAAGTAATATAATTTAGCAAAGTCAATATATATATATATATATATTTGACACAAAAAATAAATTATTATTTTTAATTATTTTTATAAAAACTCTCTCCTGATTGCATCCATTTTGTTAAAAATTTTCTTTTTATGATAATTTTAAGCAAGAAAAAATATTTTATACTTTTTATCACAAGCCCTAGCTCAAAAACTCAAGAACTTTCAAGACAACTGATACAGTGGAATAGAATCTCTGATTAAAGTCTACTCAAGTTTGAGTCTTGCTTATTCTTCAGTTATATAAGGAAAGGCCTGTGGCTGTTCTCTTTTTTTTTGTTCTCTTGTATCCCTCCTTCTTTTTATTATATTACAAAAACCATCCACATCAAAACCATTATACTTGCTAAATTAAATACTCTTTCAAAAACATATTCAAACAAAGTTGCTAGATCTATTGTTTGTTTTATTACAACCTTCACACATAGCTCTATCATGGTACTATTTACTGTGTCATTTCAAAATTTTTAAAGAATTTTTTTCAAAAAACTGAAATCAGTTTACTTCCTCTAGATTATCATCACTTTCCAATCATTTAATCAGATTTCATCAAAACAATAAAGAAAAAATTGAACCTGTTTAAACTGGTTTTTCAATATAACAACAATAACAATAACAAATAATATCAATTATACTTTATTATCCATGTTAACAAGGATTACATCTCTAAGACCAGTACCAGTATAAGAGCCAGACTATTGACTATCTTTTAGATATTCTTTTTGTTTACATAGAATTTATAACATATGTGACTTAGTTTTAGTTTTTGTAACCAATATTATTGTAGCTTCAATTTATTTTTCTTTTCGATTTTTTTCTATTTCCTATTCTTGTTATATTAAATAAAAAAACTTTGAGTAAGTAAGTATAGCTGCTCTTATCATATTTAACATATATAATATTGTTTTAAATTCTTTTTGATATTAATTAGATATAGATATGTAAGCAAGCTAACATTTAACTTATTGTATACTTTATATTCAAGAGATGTTGTTTCTTTCACAAGTGTATATAATTAATAAGTATAATATCAATAAATAAAGAAATGATGTTTACCTATTGAAAAAAAATAAAATAAAAAATAAATTATTACTTTTACTATCAAAATATAACTTCTGACAAAATAATATTTAAAAAAAAGTATACTATTTATATATTAAATAAATTATATATCACTTTATAGCCAAAGATAAAAGCTATATAAGTTTGATTGATTAATTGAATTATATAATTTTTTGTCAACTAATTAACAAGTGGCATTATATCAAATAAATCAATTTTAATTAATACTAAACATATTTAACTTGATGATTTTTGTCTAAATTCTAATTACTTATAGCTAATATCTTATCTTTCAATTATATACTCAAGTTTTATAAAATATTATAATTAAAATAAATTTATAAACTTCAGATTGAAATAGATTGGCTTATAATTAATCTCTTTGGTTTATATAATAGAAGTTGTTATTATTAATTTAGATTATAGTTAATAGGCTTTTATTAAATTAAATTAGAAATCTTTTCTTATATAATCTTTTATACTTTGATTTTATTTTATTTTATAATTATTAAAAAAATTATAAATTTCATCTTTATACAACCTAATTAAATTTAAATATAGTTAGAAATTATTAAATACAATATATACAAAATATTCAATAAACCTATATAGTAATGTTTATATGAAATAATAATTATAAATTTGATTATTGATTATTATTTTTTTTTTAAGAAGGCAAAGCACATTATATGTGAATTTTTTATTAACTCAATATTGAAATTACAATTATTATATGAAAAGTTTAACTAACTTATTCTAGTTACTCTAATCTTAACACTACCTTCTTTTTCTAACCTGTATATTAACTTACATTACAAAGGTGAGTTTGTATTATATATGTAATATAAATTATTTGTTGTTAACTCAATTTCCCAAATTCTCAAAAATAATTGCATCATAACTCAATTATTTATATATTTTAATAGTGATTCAATTAATTGTATCAAATAATTACATCAATTGCATTAAGAATCTATGAATTTTAGTAACATATATAGTTTATATACTAGGCATAATTTATTTAGAGAGTATTTTTTATTTGTTAATCGTCATTAGAGTCCTTATTACTTTCCATTATCAGCTTCAATTTTCTATAGCATTTGTGGTCTTACTTCTTTACACTTTTTAGTAAATGCTCCAAGAGTTGTTTTTATAATTGGCACACACTACCAAATTTGAAGACCTATAAGCCAAGTGGAATGCAACTTCTAAATCCTTTAGCAGATATTATTTTAATATATTATTTATTTATTTTTATAAAGTAGTTTTTGAATAACAAATAAATAAATAATTTTAAAAAGTTTTATTACATACTGTACAATATATATTCTTTAATATTTTAGAAACAAGTTTGTTATAAAATACTTTAATTGATTTATTATTTTTTTTTCAATTTAATTACAAAATTATATATAATAATCAATTAAAAAATAAAAAAATATAATTTAAAATTTTTTAATATTACAAATATTTTTTACAAAATTATATTTTACTAAAATTTATAGATCTTTAATACAATTAATATAATTATTTAATGCAATTAATTGGGTTATTATTACTAAATTAATATATAAATTAATTTTTTATAAAAAACAGTACTTAACTAATTATAGTATCAAATATTATATTAATTTGATTTTATGATCTGAATTTAAGAATATCAACTATTATACTATTGATCTTCAAATTATTATTAATATATTATTAATATAATATTTAATAATTTACAAATTATCAATAGTACAAAAATCTATTAATAAAGTAAATAAAAATTTGAATAAATTATTGAAATATATATTGATTATTAAAAAAATAAATAAAATTGAATCTGATAATAAAAGCAAAATAATAATAATAATAGTCTAAATATGATTTGTTTTAATTACAAATTCTTTAAGAGCTAAATTATGTTTTTTGTTATAATTTCATAAAATAAATTGTAAAAATTGCAAATTTAAATTTATTTAATATAATATTTTTTATATTTTTATATTATAAAGAAAAAAGATTATATTAGTATTTTATTTTAAATATTGTCACAAACTGTAAGTAATAATAAATTATGGATATTTTATTTAAAAACAAAATCTAATTTATATTTTTGTTTTAAATAATAAAAAATTTAATTTAATTTAAAGCAATTAATTAATTACTTTTTATTTATTTTAATAATCAAATTTATTATATAACTTGTTATTTTTAATCTTATATATTTCTCTAATATTTTCTTAAATAGGACTATTTAAAATACTCAAATTGTAAATATCTAATGATAATAATTTAAATTAAATATTTCTGGATTATTTTTAATTGAAACGAAAAATTCTTTTTAATTAGTATTAAAATAAACACGTGATACACATCCCGACTGCCAATTTTGGAGAATTTGACGCTATTGCCCAAATCAATTAAACCATGTACGTAGAAGGTTGTGAGTCTAGAATATTCATTGCCAAGAATATCTTCTTTTAATGATATGCTATGGAGAATGGAGTATCCACACGGAGGCGGGCATCTCAACTGCCAATTTTGGAGAATTGACGCTATTACCCTTAAATCAATTTAAATTGTGCACGTAGAAGGTTAGGAGGAGTCTAGAATATTCATTGACAAGAATATCAATTCTTTTTTTGTAGGGTGCCACACTCTTTAAAATTGGTCGGGAAAATAAGATTTTATTTGTAGTTTACAAAAACTTATTCTAGCTATCCTCACGTGTGTCGAAGACTATCACGCACAAATGTCTCGTGAAATTAGAAAAACAAGAACCTTGCATTCCAATGAATCCAATACAAAAAACAAAATAAATGGAAGGAATGAAATTATGAAATCATAGAATACAAAATCATACACTAAAAATACGTGTGTATGTACATAAAGAAAATACATCTACAATATAATAAATACGTACAGCACTCAAAATAATGTCTCAACTTCCTATTTTACATCATCATTTTATGTAAATCCTTATGGTGCAATGTTATCTTTATGAATTTCCGTCTTTCTTCGGACAATTACCACAGTACACATCACTGAATGAAGACAATACTTGGAGACGCTTCCCACACTCACTGCTTCTGGTTGGTCTACTCCTCGGCGACCCAGTACGAGTACATCTACTTTGTTTTCTCTGACAAAATCAACTATATAGTTCGCTGGATCGGAACTTGAATTGACATAATATTCACATAAAAACTGTATTTATTATATGTAGAGAAAGGTTAGCTGACAGAAAATAGACAAAAAAGAAAAAAGGTTAACGGGAATACCTGATTAAATTCTTTGTTATAAAGAAAATCAGAAACTATTTTTTTTCCTTTGTTAACATATTTTCTTGCTTGTTCTTCTGCCTAAATGAAGGGTATGATTAGCTCAGGATATACTATAAATGTTTTTTCAATGAACATCATACTTGTTGTCTTTGCAATTTCAGTTCATCTCCATTTAATATATGTCCTAAGCACGAAGAAAGAATTATAATTACAAAATGCAAAAAACTACATCCACGAAAAAAAAAAGCTAGATTCAAGTTATTACTTGTAGCTGCTGTATATTCATAAGGATTTCCATCGGTCAACATGCCGACACTCAAAATCAGCAATTCATCCTCACTTGGATTAATCAAATTTTCAAGCGACCAAGATAAAGCGTATTCCGCATTCTCAGATCCGTCTAAAGCTATCAAATATTTCTTTTTCATTTGTGAGAACTAATTAATATACTATAACTAATTATTAATGAAATTCTTTGAACGGAGGAAAAATTAGATTTGGAGAAACGACAATTCCAAGGATATTTATGAATTTTATACGAACACGTACCTATGTTGATCCGTACCTATTGGCAGATCCTGTTACGTCATTGAGCATATATAGTGTGGCATGTTCCCACCAGACAAGTTAATCGTTGATATCGATATGTTGTCAGCTGGTATTTACATCATCTTGGAATGATATAACAATAAACATTACTTTAAAAGCAATTATATTCTTAAATCGACACAAGAAGATTAATTATTTCACAATAAAGGGTAAGGTTGTATAATTTTTCTTTATTGAACGTATCTATTGATAAACTTTATAAGATAAACCTTAAATATATAATTTAATTAAAGCAAAAATATAAAATAATAATATTTAATATGAGCTTTAAATTTTAAATAATTATAAAAAAACTAATTCAAATCAATTATTTATTTATTTTAATTATAAAAAAATTTTTAAAATAATACTTAAAATTTAAATATTAATAAAATTATTTAAAAATATAAAAATTTTTAAAAAATAAAAAAACTTTTATTTATTAAAAAAACAAACTTTCCTATATATAATATTTTTTTTACCTTTCAATATTCAAAAGTTCTTCACACTTTCTTTATTTTTATTACAAAAGTTTCAAAAAAAATCAAACAAGTATACAACTTTTGTTCAGAAAAAAACAAGTTTGAGAGTCTTGCTTTTTTTTTTAATTGTATGAAAAAAAACTTATAAAAATTACTTCTTTATAAATTTTTCTTGAGGTTCTTTTTATTTTTACTTTATATTAATATATATATCTTATTAAATAATAATATTTTTTTCTTAAAATCTTTTCTATAAATTAAAAAATTAAACTTTATATTAAAATTATTTATATTATTGACTTAAAAAACCAGCAATATATTCAATATTTACTTTTTACTATTATTTAGCATATTTTGCTATACCACAAAAAATTAAAAACTTTTTTTAAAAAAATTTTCATCAAAAAACCATAATTGGTTTATTCTTATTAATTGATTAATATTTCAAATCCAATTAATCAAACATTATTAATTAATTAAACAAATTTATACAAACAAATTATTATATATTAATTAATATAAATAAAGTCATTTTTGATAATACCAATTATATTATTAATAAACAAATTAACCAATAATCACATTAATACAATAATAATACTATTGCTATAATCAATCAACTATCAAAGAAATATATTATCAATACTATTATTTACTTTAAACAATAGCTTAACTATTTCTAGAAATATATATAATATTGTATTTCAGTTAAATAAAACCACTAGTATGATATATCTAATGATTTTATCCAAAGTATTCTTTATTCTATAATTAGTTTTTTTGTATTTATCTTTTTGTTTAATATTTTTTTTTGTTTAATTTTTTATTTTTTATTGTCTTTTTATATATAAATCCAAGTAAATATTTATAACTACTCAATACTATCTTTAACATATATTGATTTTAATATTTTTTTTTCTTTGTAATCTAGATAGTTTACTATAAATCAGTTAGTATTAAATTTATTGATCAATTAGTTATATAAAAAATATTATTATTTTCTTTATATAATAATTTTACAATTTTACAATTATAATAAAGTAATAATATTTATTTACTTTTTTAAAAAAAAAACTTTATTTATTTATTATTAGTTTTTTAAAAAAGTTTTTTATAATAATTTTTTTTAAAAATATTTTTTATTTTTTTTCTATATATTAATTATATTAAAAATAAAAATGAGTTTTTGAATTAAAGGTAAGAGTATAATTTAATTTAAATATTTTTTATTATTAAAAAAGTTTTTTTAAAAATATAAGATCAAAAAAAAACTACTTATAAAGATTTTTTACAATTTAGATCACTTAATTCAAATGCTTTTTAAATTATGTCTCTTTTAAAAAGAAATAATCAATTTGTAAAATTTTATATATTAAATAATTTAAAAATTTATTCTTTCTATATATTGCTGAAATATATAGATCTTTAATATAATTAATACAATTATTTAATACAATTAATTGAGTTACTATTAAAACATATAAATAATTGAGATATGATATAATTATTTTTAAAAATTTTGAAAATTGAGTTAATAATAAATAATTTATGTCATATTTATATTATTCTTAACTATAAGCTCAATTAAAAACTATTATTATATTAAAATAAAACTTTTATTAAAGTTAAACAAGTTTGAAATTTTTATTTGTTTTTTAATTATATAAAAACATTTATAATTATTCTTTTGTTTTATATTCTATATTATTTTTTTAAAAAACTATTAATATTATTCTTATATTAATTCTTAATATTATAAACTTATTTTTAAAATAATATTCAAATAAAATTATTAAATATAAATTTGAGAATTAATAATAATATAGTAAGTAATACTTCTAAATCTTCAAATATATGTTTTCAGTTAAATATCTATAAGGAACAAAAAATACATTTACCTTTATATATGAGTTTACTAAATATTTTATATATGTTATAATTTAATAATTTTTAACTACATTCAAATTCAAAAAAAAAACTCTTTCCCGTCAATCATCAATTTCCTTATTAGGAAATCTCTTCAAGAAGGAAAAATTCTACCAAGTTTTTC